TTGTTGGCTCAAGGACCAATATGTTCTCACTCTCCAAGTGTAACATATTAGGCTATGGGACAAATAGTCGGTATGTTACGCGTTCGGAAAAAGGAAGCAACATGAGAACTGTTTGGACTGAATCTACACATGTACATTTATTTTACTTTCTCATCATGAATTGCTTTGGAAAACACTATCTAACATGATTAAGGTTGTGGTTAAGGTTAGGGATAAGGTTACGGTTACGGTTAGGGTTAAGATTAAGGTTAGGGCTGGAATACACAGCTGAAATGTGTGTTACCGCCGGGAGCGTCATTCTACTGGATTTCATTCACAATCCAGCGCGTATCATAGGGATTCCTCGGGACGTGACAAATCGTCGGTATATTACGCATTGGGAATGAGAATGGCCTCCAAGGACACATCTAAAACCTGCAGGACGACGGCCCTTGAGGCGTAGAGTTGCACACCCCTGCTCTACGCAGAGGCAGACATCCTGCTATCAGCTGCTCTTCAGTCCTTGTATTCAAAGTGGCCACACTACATTATTTAAATCTATTTAAATCTTTCTTAGAGGAAAAAAAGAAAACAAACAAGATTAACAAAAATTAACAGCTGTGAGAATATTATTTCCACAGGTGAAGTTGAGGAATTTAAAATATGGACGTTGATGGAACCAACCTCAACTGGTCATTAGAGGAACTGCAGTTTAAAAAAAACAGCAACTATTGTTTAGTGTGCAGTTTGCTGCTTTCAGTTAAATTAGTCAAATCTAGCGTTGTGCTTGGTTTAAATGTTAACACCTGAACTGAGGCGTGAAACAACAACAACAAAGGAGACGATTTTTTTGCCGTCTCCAGTCGTGGAGCAATTCAGAGGTGCTGTCGGGTTAAAATAGCAAGTGAACAAATGTTTCATAGGGCAAACTGTGACAAACAGCCAGAACAAGGGGCTCAGAATAAAACTTGATTCTATTTGTGATTAGGTTAGGGTTAGAAACTGAGATATATGAGATGAATGCTTTGTTTGATTCGTTTTGTTTCAGGAGAATGATATCAGTTTTCCATGACGCGTCGTAAATCATGTTCGTGTGCGCGGCAGCGTCTATTTGAAGCCTCCTTTATAATCACAGCAGGGGTCATTTCCTATCTTTTCAGCTGTCAACATTTTGGATCATCTCATCACAGCTCTCCTTTATTACCTCCCTGCAGCTTCAGTCACGGCCAGACTCTCAGATTAACAGGCAAACAGTTCCATGCCGCTGGCAGTATTGACGCAATGATTCTGAGCCACAGCGGTGTTTGTTTGTTTGTGCATGTGTGTGCGAGGGACACAGGTGCAACCCAGCCATCTGTTCTTATCTGTTCATCAAAGAGAAGATGTCCATGTTCCCATGTGAGTCACATGGGAACATGGACATGTGTTAAGAAGTTATGTTAAATCATCCCGAATCAAGCAGAATTAGATCCAGTGATTCTCAGAAAGGATGTGCCAATATATTAAATTAAATGAGTTTAAGAAGAAGGGTAAAAGTTCACGGTTGATGAAGTCCTATTGTGAAGTCTGTGCTCGCCATCTCGGTGTAGACGTGAATAAAGACTTAATGCTCTGATCAACATTATTTACTTATCCTGCAGCATTCTTGTCTTTATCTTTTTTGTTTGTTTGTTTGTTTGTTTTTTACTCTAATTGGAATCATAATTTACAAAATGAAGATTATGTTGTTTTAAACAAGGTGTGAAACTGGAGACTGAGACCATAAACCTCTCAGAAAAATTGTTTAATGATGTCACAGATCGAGTGAGGAGTAGGATCGTTTTCTCAGACAGTTCAATTTCGTTTTGCAACCAGAGGAGTCGCCCCCTGCTGGCCTTTTGAAAAAAGAATGCTGGTTTAAGGCATTTCCGATTGTCCATCTTTTCGATACAGTCTATGCCCAAGATCCGCTAAGACAGTCAATGTTAGCTCAAATAAAACAAATCCAAACCGTGATAAGTCAAGTCAATGTATGTAAACTTGACCCAACAATAAAACATTACTTTTTCTGAATTGCTAAACCACTGTAAAACCTAAACTGTCAACTATGAGAACTCTTTCATCAAATCAATCCCACAGTTGCCAAAATCTTAAACACTATTCATCTGGTTAGCACACCATTTGCAAATCTGAATCTCTCATTTACCAAAACTCTAAACATATTTCTAACACAAAACACATTTAGCAGTGTGCTGCACTTGTACCCAGAATGTTGCACTGAGGATTATCCTCATCATCCTGATCACACCACCACTTATAGACCTCTAAGGCACATCTTTGGCTGCTGGGTGCTGAAATGCATCCTGCCTACAAAGGTCTGGAAGCCAGTACTGCTCAGAGGCCCAGTCTCGTGGAGCCTCACATGACTCCTGTGAAATGTTTCAGTAGTGAGTGTGTAGCGAGTGTGACGTAAAAACATCTTGAGTTTATGTTAATTAGCTGGTTGGAAACTGTGTGATATTATGTGTGATGCTCTCCTGCGATGGCCCGAGGTGGAGATAATTACAGTTTTTTCTGATTGCTTAAGCACATTTTTTGTAACTATTGGCTAATTTTGCAAAACTCTACACACAAATAAGAAAACCTGTCACCCAATAATCAAAACATTGTAGTTCTCTTGCAAAAGCAAACACAGCTAGATTAACTCTTCACACCTTCGTAAAAATGGTGTTTCCGTATCAAACAGTACACACAAGCCATCATCTACTAAGCACACAATGCGCCAACTGCACACTGATGGTATGAATAAAAAACACATCTGACTTTTGCTTTCTCCGTGCACAAGGTAGGCTATGTCAGTTTGAGCTCATACTTCTGTCATAGACCCATAAGCATAGAGGGATCCAAACTTCAAGTACTGGTGTTTATTCAAACACATCAAAACAAACACAAGTGTTTATTTCCAAGTATAGGATTACTTGCAATCGCCATAATGACTATATGGGTTACTTGGTCTGCAGTGAACATGCTTCCTCTGCCCCCAGCATCTGGTCATCTAGCAATTCTGTAAAGTAACAATTTCAGTATTTTTACATCAATGGTATTGGTGTGTTTCTCATTGGCATATGGCAGTGCTACAAATCTTTGTGCGAAGTGACTGTACTAACCGATTCTCATTTCAAGATGTCCTTATGGTACTTGCTACAGTGTAGCGGCTCGAGTTAGGCTGGACCCGTTGGCCAGCTACCCTCAGGGTCATTCCACGGTTGATTACATGGTCCACTATTGTAGCTCTGATGTCATCAGCAATTCTATTTCTTACTCTTCCTACCCTTCCTCTCCCCCTCCTCATCCTCCTCTCCCCCCTCATCTTCCTCTCCCCCCTCCTCGTCTTCCTCTCGCTCCTCCTTGTCCTTGTCGTCCTCTTCATCCTACTTCTTCACCTCTACGTCCTCTTCCTCGGCCTCCTCTACTTCTCACTCTTTCTGCTCCCTCCATTGTACTCCGCACACACAGCTTACCTGTATTATAGTGCTTAGGCTGATTGCAAAGTGAACTGATTATCTAAAAAAGTTCTCACATGTGAAAGTGTGCAAGACAGTTGGCAAATTAGTGTTAATGATAGTCATACATGTGTATACTTTTGCTAGGAGTGTGTTGGAAATTTGGTAATTGAGTGTTGTGCAGTGAATTGTGCCTACAGTTTTGCAAAGTGTGTGTTACAAAATTGCAAACTGAGTGCAAAGCAGTTTTTGTGCTTTTAGTTTTGCAAACTCAGTGAGTGGTTTTGCTATAAGTCTGAATAGTTTTAGAGATTGTGCTACAGGAATCACAGTTAGGGTTTAAGCATTCAGAAAAAACTGTAAGACGTGGTCCCTCAGGTTGTCTACTAACCTTTCCTTATGAACAGACTGCTCTCTGTGTCTTTTACTGTTTACAACAACGGCACACAAGAGAGATTGTATCCAGTGTTCCTGTTAGTGGCATCGTTTGTTCACATTTGAACCCCAGTAAAACACACACCCCGGCTGCTCACAAAAGTAACAAAGACTATCAGTCAGAGCGAGTGGTGGGCAGAGAAGTCATGTGCTGCGTCTTTGTAGTCAGCTGATACTAGTGAGTATATGTGTGTGTATGTGTGTGTCTAGGTGTGGGTGCAAATGAGCTTTTGTGAGTATAGATGCTGGGAAGGAAAATGAATATCATAATATGCCGGCAGATGGTTGGAAAGTGCTGATAGCTGCAGCAGAAACTGGCCTTGATATATAAATATGTCGCTTCTATCAGTCGTGTCTTCTATGTTTAATCACAGTGAACGGATAGGAAATTATTAGAAGGGATGGAGATGAGAGATAAAACTTCCATTTAATCAGTGGTTGTGGAAGGTATACGTGGGAGCAAAGAAACACACAGCTGTCCCCTTCTGACAGTTTGCAGTGCTTTCCATTTTTAAATTGTCTCTGTCACAGTGTGATTTTTTTTTTAAAAATTACCTAATAAAAAATTATTATTTTTTACTTAAAATAGAAAAGTATTTACTTTTACTTTTTATGAAAAAAAAATCAATACGAATTTGGTTTTACATCTCTGTAATATTAAATAACGTTAAACTTGCCCCCCGCCCTTCCTACAGCTTTTGTTTTATATTACAGTTTTTTTCAGTCGCTAACAAGCGTTTGTCCAAACAGTTGTCACATTTGCAAAACTCTAAACACAATTAGCACAGCATTGGTCTGTTGTGGCCATACCATTCACACATTTCATGTCGTGTTCACCCAATATGCAGTCAGTGAACACATTTCCACAATGCTTACATTTTCTTAACAGACAAGCTATACCTCCCAACAAAATTATGGACTGTTTCTGTAGTATCTACGAATGTTAACACACAACATCCCACAATAGCAAAAACAATATTCCAAACCTTAGATACAGTATAAAAACCTCTGCTTCTGCAATGATATCAGTACAAAAACAATATCAATATCAAAAATAGATCTCAGCTGATAATAAACAAACAATTGAATAATTGACACACAGCTGATTTATGTTGGGTAAATTGGGCCAACCACAGCTTCTTCCATTCTGGCTTAGAGTCAGTGGGGTTTATAAGGCAAGACCTTGAGGAGTGATGTTTTTGGAAACAAAAAAAAGACAAACACTGTATTGTCTGGTCGAGGAAGAGTAGGAGCAAGGGGCCCAGGGAGAAGAGCAGGCCCAAGGAGAGGGCAAGGTAGAGGTGTAAGAATGCGTGGTGGTGGCATTCCAAGGGCTGCAAGAACAGTAGTCAGTGATGAAATTCGTGCCACTATCGTTGACCATGTAATCAACCATGGTCTTTCACTAAGAGAGGCTGGTGAAAGAGTGCAGCCCAATTTGAGGCGGTCAACGGTTGCCTCCATTATACGCATCTTTCAACAAACCAACAGGTAAGTATTGCATTTTACATGGATTGTTTCTATTCTCACTTGACATGTCAATATGGTCATACAGTAATGCATATGTTGAATTTTTTGTCTTTCTAAAGAATGCAACATCTTCCACCCTCTGGGGGAAGAGGAAAGCTCCTCAGTAATGATCAGGAGCTTGCCATTGTAGAAATGGTTACTGCAAATAATGCAATAAAACTGCGTGAAATTCAAACTAGAATTGTGGCGGACCATGAGATATTTGACAATATCGATAGAATCAGCCTCACAACCATTACGCGGACATTGTCCAAACACAGAGTGCGGATGAAGCAGCTCTACACTGTTCCCTTTGAGAGGAACAGTGAGAGGGTCAAGGAGCTACGACGACAATATGTCCAGGTATAGTGTATATTCAATCCAATGTCCAGTTCTATAAGCTTTGCACTTTGCAAGTAGGTAACCTACACAATACTAGGTTACAGTACAGTATGGTATACAGTAATAACATGACTTACATAAACTTTGTTTCAGAGAGTTATGGAATTGGAGGCCAACCATGCCCCTCATGAATTCATATACATCGATGAGGCAGGATTCAATCTGGCCAAAAGGCGTCGACGTGGACGAAATGTAATTGGAAAAAGGGCCACAGTTGATGTGCCAGGACAGAGAGGGGCAAACATTACCATGTGTGCAGCAATTGCAAATGCAGGATTACTCCTTCACAGATGTCAGGTTGGACCCTATAATACAGAGCGCTTGCTTGCCTTTCTCAATGATCTCCACCAGTGCCTGGTTCCAGAGCAGGGTCAGGAGGGTGAAAACATGAGGACCTTTGTAATTACCTGGGACAATGTGGCTTTCCATCACTCGCAAGCAATAACAACATGGTTTGAAGTCCACCCAAGACTGGTAAGTCTCTTCCTTCCACCCTATTCACCTTTCCTCAACCCCATAGAGGAGTTTTTTTCTGCATGGAGGTGGAAGGTTTATGACCATCAGCCATATGACCAGATGTCCCTCCTTGAAGCCATGGATGCTGGCTCCAGGGACATCACAGTTGACGATTGCCAAGGGTGGATCCGACATACCATGCGGTTTTATCCCAGGTGCATCGACTTGGATAACATCAGATGTGATGTTGATGAAAACATGTGTCCTAACCCTGAAGATCGCAGGGATTAGATGCAAATTTTTTGCCTTTTTTTAGCCCCCCTCCCCCCCTTTTTATCTTGGCTTTTTGCTGTTGTTTTTTTGTTCAGAATGCGCTTGTGTGTTTCATGGATATTTTGTTCACTGTAAGCAATACTGTAGAACTTTCTCTGTCCTATCATACCGTGTTTCTACTGTACCTCCTGTAGTAAACAGTAAAGAAACAGAAACTTGTTTGCTTTTTACTGGAATGCTTTTGAATGTGAACATTACTGTACATGTGGACATACAGTTACCAAACAAGACATTTCTGGTGTCAAAATGGTGGATTGCATGTTTCGCATGCAAATACCTGTAAAACTGAATCATAAAGGTCTATGCAGTTTTTGTAATGTCAATAATAGCCAGTATTTTGAAACCTGGTGTACTTTGATTGACTGCATGTACCTTGGGAAGTGAAAACAAGTGTTATTCTTTGACAGACTAATTTCATTTTGAGTCAGATTTATAGTGTTTTTGTACAGCTAGTGTGTGCAGAGAAAGATGTGTTCTATTTTGAAATGAAGAGGTAGTATATATTTAACAAAATGTATTTTTGAGAAGAAAATTATCCATTTGGCCAATTGTGTTTTGTAGGTGTGAGTCTGTGTTAAGAGTTTAGAAAAAGTATCTGAAGTATGGGTAGGCGCTTGTTAGCGATTGAAAAAAACTGTAAATGAATAAATATCACATTAGAAACTGCAGCCAACATGTTGTTTCACTGCTGCCTGAGTCAAAGGCAGGTCAGAGGTGTTTAACTGACAAATAACTGGCCATTAGTTTCTCTCTGTGAGATTCCACACAAAGTAAAGACAAACAGACACGTGATGTTAAACAGGTGACTGTCTACACGTGTCCCTCAAAAACTTTCTGCCACTGGTGCACATTTACTCTTAGTTTATTTTATATTTTATCTTTATCTAAACGTTTCTGAAGACTAACAGGACTGCGCAGGACAGTAAGGAGCATACAAGGAGTCCACAAAGGCATCAACCAAACCTACCTCAGGACTCCATGAGCGGTGCCCTGTCCAGACTTTGATGAAGACCTACACAATATTAGCCAGTAGAGCTTGGAGTAGAGAAGCTATCTGTCTTGAACCATCCATCGTATTAATTTACTTTGCTTCCAAGGAGCCAGACTTTTGAGGTGGTTTTGAATAATAGTTCTCCAGACTTTCTGATGATCTTTTAAAGTTTATATCTTTACATGATCATTTTCAGAAGTTTTTTTTGTTTCAAGCATAAAAAGACACCTGGCTAAAGGGATGAAGCAGTGTTGTGTCTACACATAACAGACAACTTTCCAAAGAAACAATTTTAAAGTGCATCTTCAGATGCTTTACTTTGTGCATGTCACAAAAATGGGGCGACCGTGGCTCAGGGGGTTGGGAAGCGTATCTGTAACCGGAAGGTCGCCGGTTCGATCCCCGGGCTCTCTGTCCTGGTTGTTGTGTCCCCATGCCACTTTACCCTACCGCCTACTGGTGTTGGCCAGAAGGGCCGATGGTGTGATATGGCAGCCTCGCTTCTGTCAGTCTGCCCCAGGGCAGCTGTGGCTACAACTGTAGCTGCCTCCACCAGTGTGTGAATGTGAGAGTAAATGAATAGTGGCATTGTAAAGCGCTTTGGGTGCCTTGAAAAGTGCTATATAAATCCAATCCATTATAAATGCAAATTTCCATGTCTTTAGTTACACAAATTGTCAAAAATACCACAGTTTGACAAGCATTAAATAGTATTCCTGCACCAACTACATGATTCAGCTCTTAGCCAAACAAATTTGGCATACCTCAGCAATGTGTGTATTGTTTTATTTATTTATTTTGAGGAAACTAGATATTTGGAGAATAAAAGTAGTAACATGTCACTTAAAAAAATAGGAAAAGAAATCCGCAAAGACTGATCCAGGGCTTGAGACCTTTCGCTGAACAGTGACGGTCTCAGTGGAAGTGAAGTCATTCTTAAGAAAAGAAAACAGGGAGAAAGCTGAAGTATGTCAAACTGCACAAGAACTGGACTGAAAATGAATGGCACTTAGTCTTATGGAGTATGAATACAACTTTGAAATACAATGAGTGTCTACACTCACTGTAGAACATGATAGAGGGTCTGTCGTGGTTTTGGGCTTCATTTGGCAGTTCAGTCCTTTCAAAATTGATGGAGTAATAAATGCAGAAAAGTCAAAGGAGCTTGCAAAGAAAAGCGTCTGGACTTCTTTAAGTTGCTTGAAGACGTTTCACCTCTCATCCGAGAAGCTTCTTCAGTTCTAAGGTCAAATGGTGGAGAGTCCCAGATATAAACCTAGTGGGAGTAACCCCCCACAGAGGGACAAAAGGACCCCCTGATGATCCTCTAATCGCCTGAGCCAAGGTGTGAAGAAGCTTCTCGGATGAGAGGTGAAACGTCTTCAAGCAACTTAAAGAAGTCCAGACGCTTTTCTTTGCAAGCTCCTTTGACTACGATGACCTGGATGACTGAGAACCTTCACAGACAAAATGCAGAAAAGGATTTCTGGAGCTTTCTGGTGTAGTAAATAAATTAAATGTATACATCATTAAATAATTAATTAAATGTGTCTTTCATTCATTAAAATGGAGATAATTAATTAAATATACAAATAATTAATAAAATGTCAATTAATTTCATTGTAAGCGTTTGATATGTTACTTATTAATGAATTAATTAAACATTTAATAAATTAATTAGTGTCACATTTCATTATTTATTTAAGGACGCGTTTATTTGATTCATTTTGGCAGGGAATGAGCGCCTTATCGGTTATGTAGTCCTCCTCCGCGACTGAGGGCGCTGTTACATCCCAACAGCGTGCTGACGTCAGGTTTGTTGCCGGAAGTACCTCTCAGTTGTCAGAGGAAAAGCATCGAAATCCGGCGTGAGAGGCTGTTTTGGCTTCCATGTGGCACTGAAGTCAAAAGAACTGAAGATTTTACGAGTAACTGTCCGCTTATAGAGCAGCCATGGGGAAAAAAGGCAAGAAGGAGAAGAAGGTTAAGGGAGCCGAGAAGACAGCTGCCAAAATGGAGAAAAAGGTTTCAAAAAGGTCCAAACGAGAAGAGGTAACAATTAAATCAAAGTAAAATAGGATGAATCGGAAAGCCCTATCCTGTTGCAAACCTTTTACGTTTCGCAGATTATTTATTTATTCTATTTATTTATTGAATCAAATTATCTTTAATATGAGGTGAGCACATAAAGGCGTTTTTGATTTCTTCTCCGTTTAACCTTTTCTGCCTGCAGGATGATTTGGAGGCTCTGATCGCTGAGTTTCAGAGTCTGGACGCAAAGAAAACCCAGGTTGTCGAGACGACGTGTCCGCCTCCATCACCGAGGTGAAAAACATAGAGTCAGGCTCAATATTTGGAAAATATAAATAAAATTCAGTGTCATAAGCAACATCACAGTGACCCACAAACAAAGATGCAAAACAAGAGATGCAAATTAACATAAATTGCACATAAAAATCACCAAAATAAGGCAAAAAACCCCCAAAACAAACAAAAAACGTGCGTAAAGAGATGAATGAATCAAAGATACAGAGTGAGAGAGAAGCAAAACATCAACAAGGAATGCACAGTGACAGAAATTCACAAGAAATCACCAAAATAATGCAAAAGAAAGTGTGTAAGAGGGATAGAAAACAACCACAGATCCCAACCTTTGATTTTTTTAAAAGATATAATTTTCTATAATTTTGTATTTTTTATCGTGGTTTTGACGTAGTTTTGTGGTCAAAATTACAAAAAAACTTAGAGTTTTGGATTTTATATTATTCACTCAAATGACTTACAGTGTAGACAAGAGAAATGCCAACTCAATTTTTTGCTAGTCCCTGTCATGAATGAACAAATCCATTATTTATTAAATTAAATGCACTGAAATTAAAAGATTTAGTACATTATAACATTATTCCAATGTTATAAAAAGTACAGTTTGGGGGATTTGCTCCTGTTTAGCACCAGTGAGGACATTTTTCTGCCTCTTTCCACTTGTTTTCATTATTACCAGTGTTTTCTACACCATCACAAGTCTTCTGCACAGTACAAAGGATGTGCTAGTTAGCTGTGCACGTAGTCTGCAGTAAAAACACAAAAAGTTTAATTCATTCATTCATTCATTCATTCATTTTGATGCCGGTCCAAAAGTAGAACTTCAGGGATCAATAAAAAAGGATGTGAATCATCCTTTGACGGAGTCGTTAATGAGTGCACTGAGTGCAATTTCACCAGAGTCCATCCAGTATAAGTTCAGAGATTGTATTCAAAACAACACATTTCAGCCAGACTGTGGTGCTAAAGAAAAGACTCGGGGACTATTGAAGTGAACAGGAAGAAGAATCGCTTGATGATTTACCTCTTCATGCTTTTTAGATTGAATGGATCCCTCTCTGCACATCCTGAGAAAGATGAACTCATCCTGTTTGGAGGAGAATTCTTCAATGGAAAGAAGGTAGCAGATTAGTCCAATAAATGATATTGTGCATTAGTGCTCAGTCGTGTGTACCAACCTTCAGTATATGTCTCCTAGTGTGAATGAGCAGCTAATTACACAGCGAAACAGTTCATCTAACACTCTTTTCACTGATATTTGTTTTTCTTGCAGTGTTGGTTTGTTATTTATTTGGTATTTTTGGTAGTCCACTTTTGCACCTTTTTCTATGTATTTTTCTCCCTGTTGCATGGGCTGCACCTTATTATTTTTATTACAACAACATCAAATGTCATCACACCGACCTGTGTCACTAAAGAACGAGTATGGGCCATCTTGTGTTCAAAGGCTGCTGCACCTGTCAGGACAGCCAATGCTAGTTTGAACCTGCTGTGTGTTTCAACTGACCCTAGCAACCAATCAGAGTAGAGACTAAACATTTTCAACAGAAGTTACCAAGGTGATTTTCGCAGGTTAAGAGAGAGTGTCTTTGTGATGCTCAAAGACCTCACTCACCGGTTATTTTTACTTCATAGTACAACCCTCCGCTTTCTGATTGGATTTTTTTCACAGTGTGTTGATTTCGAATTAAAAATTTTATAATTATTTGCAAGCATCACATGCTTAAATCTCTCCAGCCTATGGTTAATATGAGCCTAAGGCTTCCGTGGCTGATTTTGTGTGGACAGTTTTAAAACCCCTGCTGTGGTTTTCTGTTTTTGCAGACGTATCTGTACAACGATCTGTTCTTCTACAACATCAGGAAGAATACCTGGGTTAAATCAGAAATCCCCAACCCTCCTCCACCACGCTGTTCTCATCAGGTACACAACATCCCAGATGAAGAGTCTTAAGTGTCTTTTGGTACACAGTTTACAACTAAACATCTCAGGGGTTTCTTAGCATTTGATAAACCAGCAAACACCACACTTTTTCACCACACAGCCAGTACCTGGGTCAAATTTGTGCTGTCATAGTGTTGTGATTTATCATTTCAGCCACAAGGGGGCAGTCTGCTGTAGCACAGATCAGAGGGCAACTTTAAAACTTATCAGCAATCGCACATCATCACAGCAAGACAGCCTTTTACAAGGGAACCAGTTAAATCTGAGGACATCAAACTGTCTTATCTCGTGCTGTTTTTGCAGCCGTCTTCTTCCCCCCCGCCTCACTCCTCCCCCTCTCCTTTCTTTCCTCCACTCAGGCGGTGGTAGTTCCTCAGGGCGGGGGACAGCTCTGGGTGTTTGGTGGAGAGTTTGCCTCTCCAAATGGGGAACAATTCTATCACTACAAGGACCTTTGGGTACTGCACCTTGCTACACACACCTGGGAGAACATCAAGTGCGTACAAAGGCTGCTAAGCATAGATGCAGTAATTGGAAGTTGTTGCTGATAGATGGATTGTGTAAATACAGAGTCTCAAGTCCAGCTGCTGTACAGATGTTATGTTAGTTTTTACTTTTCAGGGCACCGGGCGGTCCATCGGGCCGCAGTGGACATCGGATGGTCCTCAGCAAGAAGCAGCTGCTGGTGTTTGGAGGTTTCCACGAGAGCACCAGGTAAACAGGCTCACTGAACAGGTGTCATGGTGGTCACGGTCTGCTTGATATCAGCAACGGATGAAGTGACAAAGAAACTGAATCCACTGAAAATCAATCATTTATTATTTGAAATTAAATGCAAAAAATCTAATTAATTTGTGAAGACGTGTGTAAGAGATTGCGTATATACCATTCACAGCAATCTGAGGACATCAAGCCTCCTTATCTCACTCTGTTTATGCAGACATCTTCCTTCCTCTGCTTATAATGGAAGTTTAATCAGGCTGCGAAATGTTGGCCGGCTCAAAACTGTGTCAGAATTTGACTCGTCGATCGTGGGGACTGGTAAATGAAAATCACTTCAAGCATGAATACAACTCAGAATATATTGCTCCTAAAGTTCTACTGCGTTCCTTTACTGTTAAATAAATAGATAAGGAGCATGACAGTAAATTAGAAGATTGCGTCGGCATTTGGACATTGCTCGGTGTTTGTTTCAGACTCTTCTTGTAACATATTAACACTTTTTGTGGACAGAAATTTTATGTTTTGGACATACAATCTTGTGAAAAACTAAGTACACCTTTACTCCTTCCAGTCAAATGCCTTTGATTAACTGATAATCAGCACCTCTATAAAAGCACAGGTTTTGTAGGTCTGGAGAATTCAGGTGTTTAACACATTGTCAAACTCTTCCCAGCAACTTAACCCCAATTTCAGTCTGCAATGACATGACAATAAGAATGGGAATGTACAAGAGTGGTTTGTTTGGAAGGGTTAGCAGGAGAAAGCTTCTTCTCCCCAAAAAGGGCATGACAGCAAATTGCATCTAAACAAATCACGAGATTTCTGGAATAATGTACTTTTGACCGACAAGACCAAAGTATAGAGCTATTTAGACTATGCTTAGCACCTTTTGGAGAAAACTAAAGATAGCATACCTGCGCAATTCGACCATGAACTACTCTGTGTACTAAAGTATTCTAGATTCAGATGTCAGGCCATCAGTCCGACAGCGAAAGCTTAGATGAAACTGGGTCGTGCAAAAGGACACTGATCCTGAGCACTGCAGCAAATCTGCTACTGAATAACTTCAATAGAAAAGAATCGAGGTGCTGCAATGACCCAGTCGAAGACGGGCATTAAGAGAGGACCTCTATCTATAAACACATTCCCACAAACCTCAAACTGAAGCAATGCTGCAGAGACGAGTGGGCCAGAATTCCTCCACAGTGATGTGAGAGATCGATAAAGTCATACAGAAAATAGTTCAAATTGTTGCTGCCCAGGGTGGCTCCACAAGCTATTTCATTAAACATCCACCGCTGCTGACGACAGTAGTGACACTAGCTGATGCATCTGTGGATCCCTACAGTTTTTCAGTGTAAAAGCCCAGTGTCCTTATGCTCCCGCCTCTGCCTCCTCACCCTGCAGGGATTTTATCTACTACAATGATGTCTACTCTTTCTCCCTGGACACCTTTTCTTGGTCACGCCTCTCTCCATCAGGCTCCGCCCCCTCCCCGCGCTCAGCCTGTCAGATGACCTCCACTCCAGACGGCATGGGCGTCATCATCTATGGGGGATACTCCAAAGTGGTGCGTGTGTCGTCTGACAGCCTCCCCCGTATTGTTGTCATTTTTTTGTTGTACAGCCTGATTAAACTGCGTGTGCGTTCATGCAGAGGGTCAAGAAGGATGTCGAGAAGGGGACCATCCACTCTGACATGTTCCTTTTGAAACGAGAGGGTAAAGATGGTCAAGGTACACAACACTCAGTTGTTAACGACAAAATCATTCAAGTCTAACGATGTTGCTCCTGTCCTCGTGGTATATGTTGTGACTTTTCCTCTGTCCTGCAGAGAAGTGGTCGTGGTCCAGACTGAACCCTTCTGGCAGTAAGCCCCCTCCTCGCTCTGGTTTCTCCTTGGCGGTGGGCCCAGCTGGGCGGGCGGTGCTGTTTGGTGGGGTTTGTGACGAGGAAGAAGAAGAGTCGCTGGAGGGCGACTTCTACAATGACCTGTACTTGTATGACACAGTGAAAAACCGCTGGTTCCCCGGTGTGCTCAGGGTAAGCTACGATCTATGTCTGTCCTGATGAGAGTGGTCCTTTCCAGGATGAAATTACCTCCACCTATAGATCTGAGTGGTTTGAGTGTGGAAACTGATACACTGTGGTGTCATTCATAATTGCTGTGTGTGCATAAAAGAAGGAGTAGTAAATTGAGATCTATAAAAGCAAAGGCTCTGAATTATAGCTCAGCATAAGCAATACGTCGAGCCACAGTTTCATACTTTCCTTCTAGATCCACTTTATCACAAACATTCAGCAGCTTTGAGCTCATCTGGTCCATAGTTTGTATCGCATATATGTAGCCCAGTGCAGAGGAGGGGGTCTGATGGCATGCTGCTGTGTGTTCAGTAGGGCTGCCACGATTAGTCGACTAGTCACAATTATGTCGACTATTAAAATCGTCGACGACTAATTTAATAGTCGACGCATCGTTTGAAGCTTTGTAAGATCACAAAGGACGCAGGAATGAGTAGTAGGATTTAAGAGTGTAATAACGGACTGAAACAGAAGATGGCAGCACTGCATGTACAAGGATGCCAGCTGCCGTTAAACCTCGAAGAAGAAGAAGCTGTGTCCCAGAATTCATAGCGCAGCCCAGCGCAGTTGTCAACAATGGCGGCAGCTAGTTAGTTTTAACTTTACTCTTATTATTCTTTCTGGGTCACAAAATAAACGTTTAACATATTTTCAGGCGAGAATGTAGCTGTGTAAACCTCAAATATCTGCTCAGTTTATCAAGACACCACATATTTTCAAAAGCGCTCCGACGTTTTCGGAGACGTCTGTTACCCACTAGCTCGTTAGTTGGGCGGGGCAAGGCTAATTAGAGCCGTGAGAACACCGGACTCCCGGCAAATCGTTTTCAAACCCACCGCCGTCTTTCGCTAGTCAGGTTAAACATATATATAAGTCACTTAGATAACTTAAAAATGTTATTGTTTGGCTTTCTTTATTTTATTTGTTCCTGAGTAAATCGGTTTGGCTGAGATTAAAGTTATAGTTTTTGCACAGCTAAAACTGTCAAGCAGACAGCTGATTATCAGAAGTGTGAGACGCTGGAGAATATACTCCGGTGTCCTGTTATATTTTAGAAAGCAAGGAGTTTATTAAACTTCACCGAAACAATCTGCAAATTTCATTAAAAATTAATAAACTACCATCTTGTCTTTATTTTTAGTTAGCACAAACACTTCAAGCTGTAAGCTAATGATAGTTATATTAGAGCAGATGCTGCTGGTGCAATAAGCTGTACGCTGTACGTCCAGTGGATGATGATCTGATTAGTCGACTAATCGCAAAAATAATCGGTGACTAGTCGACTATCAAAATAATCGTTTGTGGCAGCCCTAGTGTTCAGTTATAAAGCATCGCTGCTGATGCAATGCAGAATTCAGAAGGTAGGAAAAAAGACAACATCAAAGAGGAATAAAGAAATGCAGACTGTATCGGGGCAGGATGACGGTGCAGTGTTCAGCTGTCACAGCAGGAAGCTCCTGAGTTCAAACCTGCCAGCCAGCTGCGATCTTTCTGTGTGGAGTTTGCATGTTCTCCCTCTCTGTGTGGGTTCTCTGTGGGTACGCTGTCTTCCTCCCACAGTCCACATGCATTCTTTACATGGCCATCAATTTAATTTAGTTTTATATATGTAGCTCAAAATCACAACAACATTTGCCTCAAGGCGGCCATCCACCGCAACCAGTTGGGGCTGAGGGGGGTGGAAGACGGGAGAAAAAGCAGCCTGTGGAAGAGAGCAGAGATTAGTAATAACTAATGACTCCCTGTGCATTGTTAGATCCAAACCCAACCCAACTCGGTGGATGAATTTGGCCTGATGTGTTAGTGTTCTTATCACTTCACCAGCTGTAGTACAACATCTGTCTTCAATGGACATTTGGAGATTTTACAGGATTTACATCACATCTGACACTTGCTGCTCTGATATACGTTATTTTGCACATCTCCATGAAACAGAAGTTTAAAACAAAGAGCATTGATATGATCAGAAGGTTGGTGGTTCGATCCCTGGCTCCTCCAGTCTCGATGTTGCTCTCTGATGCATCCATCGGAGTCTGATTGTCGTCAGGAAAAAGCACTCAGTTTAGAGACAGCGCTTGTGAGAATGGGTGTGATTGGGTGAATGTGGCATGTTGTATACAGCACTTTGAGTACTCTGGGAGAGTAGAAAAACGCTGTATAAGAATCTGTCCATTTATCATTACCATTTACTTTCTGTGTGCTCAGTTTTATTTGATTTCTTCTTTGTGTGTCTGTCCAGGGAAACAAGACAGAGAAGAAGAAACGGCGGAGGGTGAAAAAGGATATGGCAGAGGGGGAGGAAGCGGAGAGGGAGGAAGAGGAGGCAGCGGCACCTCAAGGACCCACTGAGATCATCAAAGAGATCGTCACTGAGGACGGAACAGTGATGACCATTAAGGAAGTGATTCCTGGTCCTCAGGTGCAGGAGGAGGAGGAGGAGGAAGAGGAGGAAGAAGATGGCAAGATTACACACACTCGTGCTAAACTAAAGGAAAGAAGTTCTCAGCATCTTTGTCTACCTAACTTCAGGGTCTTTTTTTTGTTTTGTTTTGTTTTTATCGTCATTAGGCTCGGCCACGGCCCCGCTCATCGAGCCTTGCCCGAGGTCCAGCGCCATGGCAACAGTGCGACAAGGCAAGCTCTACCTGTACGGGGGGATGTTTGAGGTGGGCGACCGCCAGTTCACTCTGAACGACTTCTACTGTCTGGACCTGCACAAAATGGACCAGTGGGAGGTTCTGGTCGAAATGGACCCAAGTGAGTCAGCCGGACAATAAAAGTCCAAAAGCGACAACAAAGAGGCCTTAAACGAAATCCGTCAGCTCAGCGCACATAATTAAAGCAGCCAGTGTGTGCGTGTGTGTGTGTGTGCGTGTGGGTGTGTGTGTGTGTGTGTGTGTGCGTGCGTGCGTGCGTGTGTGTGTGTGTGTGTGTGTGTGCGTGCGTGTGTGCGCTAACGTCTGAATATCCTCTGACGCAGGAGAGAGGTGCTGTTAAGATGGGAGTCAGGGGCGTGAGGTTTCATTTGGATTTATGATGGTCTCTCCACAGAGACACAGGAGTGGCTGGAAGAGTCTGAGTCAGAGGACGATGAAGAGGAAGAGGAGGAGGCGAAGGGAGCAGAGGGGGAGGAAGAGGAGTCCGAAGAGGAAAGCGAGGACGAGGAAGGCAAGAGATTATTCAGGTTCTTCGATGGCCGACACTTATGTGCTCTCTTTATTTATAATGAGCAACAAGTGCAGAGTCCCATTCAGGATGTGCATGACATCTGTTTATATTGTACACCGCCTGTTGCAGTCTAATACAGCAGCTTCATAAAGGTATTAATACTTCAGTGAAATGTTTTAATATTTTTCCCTGCTCATGTTTTCAAATGAGCATCGAGATCATGTTTCTTCATCTTGAACTTTACTTTGCATACGTTTGTTTTTTTCCTCATTTGTTTTAAGGACACACTGCACGCCGTGCTGAGAGATACCTCGTTTTCAGCTAATAGCTTTTTGTAAATCATGTTGTTGCGAAACTGTCAAACTGTTTTACAGACACAACTTGTGTGTTGTTTTTGAAAGGCCACGAGAACTGTTGCTTAAAAAATGACAAGAAAGTTCCTCCTGAGACATTTACACAGTACCGTATTGTACGTTATTTCATAATGGAGTTTCTCACCCACCACATCTGTTTTTAATCTCATCATTCTTGGTCTGTCGCACACACACAGCAGTGTGTCACGACATTCATACTAACAGTGCAGTATCAGGCAGTTTAGAAAGTTTTTTGAACGTTTAAAATTCTCATGTGCATTTTTACTGGCCTAGGAAAAACAATGTCTGTTACTTTATATACTGTTAATCATATTGATTTATATGTATATTAATAATCTTAAATCTATAAAATAATGAGCAGTGACCATTGTAGGATAAATATAGCGCAAAGAACAATAATTGCCTTAAAAATAAAATGTAGGTAGGAGCAGGAAGTAGGTATGGTTTCAGTGTTTGAGTCAATGGACATGTTTATATTCCATTATTGGTCCTACCTCTGCTCCCACCCAATCGTGTGGGGCATTGAGAGCACACAAAGCCGATGGCGCTGGGCTGGAGTGTGTTCGTCACAATCTGAGAAGTTAACCTGCAGCCACGTTTACAGCAATGTCCCAGATTTGAAGAACCATGACTAGAGTCTCTAGTGTGCACGCCAGTTTTTAATTACTCACACGACTGCTGTTACGTTTTCAGCCTTGATGCTGAGATAATGTAACAGAAGCTGTTGGGCTGAATTTAATTGAAATGAGTTCAGAAGCCCAACTTCCCACATTCCCACGTTTGAATCAGGATTTCTGAGCTGATGCGGTGATTCCAGGAAGTTAGAGAGCTGTGTTTTAACCTCTGCTTCTTGCCATTTTTCGGTCTTTCCACAGCTATACTCAGCACGAAGATATTAACTCTGAGAGAGAGCATCTGAACACATGCAGCGTTAGTGTCTCCCTCTCTCTCTGTTATGGACAGGTTTCTTTTGCTTTGCTTTTGCAGTTGGCTGTTCTAAACAACTCAACAATGCAAGCATATGCATGTGTGCAAATGGGATATTTATTTTGGCACCCAGGTGTAAATAACTCTGGATTAGTTCAGATTTCAGCTTTGTCCCTACACCTGTTTAATTTTTAAATTCTCGAGTTATCAGTCTCACAGATTTGGCTTTGGTGGAGCAATAATCCTTGTACTACTCCCTAGCTCCAAAGACATCAGCTCTGACATTTCTGGTAATGCTACCAATGTTGTATTTACAGATGCTAAAGAGATTTTTGTTAATAAACTACAGCTCTGGCTACTTAAGAGGAGATGCAACTGTGTTGTGGCTGCATCTGCTCAGTAACGTTAGTGTCTCTATTATGCAGGGCGCTCCCTCGTCTAACATCTGCACCTGACTGTGTGTTTCCAGATGAAGAAAAGCACCCCGCAGTGCAGGAGGGGGAGACGGTAACGGATTACCAGAACCGTACAGAGCAGTACTGGATAGGACTGGCACGTGCCAACATGGGCTCCGACGCCAAGGACAAGAAAGTTGCCAAGGTCGCCCTCGCCATGGCTAAAGTCTTCTATGAAGACCAGTAGCAGGATACGCAGAAGTGTGTGTGTGTGTGTGTGTGTGTGTGTGTGTGTGTGTGTGTGTGTGTGTGTGTGTAAAAAACTTTTTTGTAATGGGTAAACTTTTATATAACATTCAAAAATGCCTTTTGAACAGTCTGGGGGAAAATAATTCAGTCATGAATCGATTACATTCACTTTTCACAACGAAAACAGTAACAAATACAAATGACTGATGGTTTGTAAAGGTCAAAATGTTCATTCATTTGAAATAAAATCACTTAATTCATTAATTTCACCAAAACATATTTAATGCTGACATGTTTCACACACTGCTGCCGACATGTTATCGTGTCTTTGAGTGTAGCTGAGCAAGTGAGCAAATGCAACCCACCTCCAACTCAGTTGTACTTGGAATTAGAATAACTTTATTTTCCACAGTAGAAAAGAAATTGTCTTTGGTTCACAAATCAATTCACAATAAAGATGCTGATAATAATCAGCGCACATTCATACATGCACACACATAAAGCCTCAATAAAACTATAGAAATATAACAAAGCATCTTGTTACTTGGTATGCTAATTACATTTGGCACAAATTACCCCTTTTACGCCTTTTTAGTAGCTAGAGGCATCCTATGACATCATCCTCAGGGTGTTAGTTCAGTATCAGAATAAAGATGGTGTTCTTGGTCAACAATGATAGACCGAGTTTTCCCTAAAACGGCAGTGTGATCCGACTCATCTAATGTGGTTTGTTGTTTACCAATGATTCTTCCAGCAGCTCCGACAATCCTGTCCATGTTGTTTCTATTTGCCAGAGTCAGGAAAATAGGAACAAACATAATCAGTGTCATAGCTGTTACTGATGACTTGTGTTTTCTGTGCTGGGTCTCTTTCCGCCTTACTGGCCATGCATGCGTAGAAAGGCAGGGAGGATGCAGAATAAAGCCACGCTGCAAAAATATGAAAATCAATATTCTGACTACACTCTAAAAACTATTGTTTAAGCTCAACAAAAAAAATTAACGCAACAGTTTCCATTAGTCTTTTTGAGTTATGATAACTTATGTTGAAATTAGATTGAACCAACAAACTATATTGAGTTACGGGAATTAAATTATCCTCCATAATCAAAGGTGATTTGAATTACCATTTACGTAATATTTGGTAGCTTAAAAACATATTTTTAAGTTGTTTACTCATAAAAATTATGTTCCTCCAATTACTTTTTCCACATTATTTGAAATGATTTTTAAGTGTTATGTAATTAATTACAGCAATTACAAAAACAATTTTTTAAAGTTCATTATTTAAAATATTAAGTTGCTGATTTTCATCATTATTATCATCATTTTAGCTTTCTCTTATTTTTTTTTTATTGTAATAGCTTTTAAGAAAGGAATTCATTCAACATTTTTTTTATCAAATAACTTTTTTATTTTTTTAACAGTAGGCATTTCAACACTTTGTATTTAAAAAGTGAAAATAAACCAGAAATTTAGATTTATACCATCACAGCCAAGTTATAGAATATGCCTTTATGTATTTAACACCACAGAAACAAATGTGTTCAATTGGTAAAAAATCTACTTAGAAAACATTTTGTTGCAGTAATACTTCCATGCAAGTGTTCAGTAAATGTTAACTTTCAATGCCTACCAAACTTTACAAGATCTTGCATCTTTCTATTACACAATGTAGAAAACACCTTTAAGATCAATTTTACACATACAGGATTCAAAACAGTTAACAATTTTTGAAACAGAGTCAACATCTTTAACATAATGATGGTTCCATCAAGGTCAAGGAACAGCTTCTGAACAACTTCAAAAGTATATTTGCATTAGCTCAGATTGAGAGCATATATTATGCCCATGAGCAAAACACAGCACCTTGGGAAATTCTGGCCCTCCATTATTTTTGTTTCCTCCACCACAATGGTTGCAGTCTTATGGTTAGATCCAGGGGTGTACCGGTCACTGATGATGGCAGTTTTCATCACCTGCCTTAAGTTCTTTGGTGTCCTTGTAAAGCAAATTTTAAAAAATAGGTTAGTGAATTATAGATTAGACTTTTATACTTACTGAATCTTAATGAATTCAGATGATCAATGGAACACACACACACACACACACACACACACACACACACACACACCACACACACACACACACACAATGCTGAATTACTTACACCAAACTCCATGAAAAGGTCCTCGTCCTTCTCTCCAAGGAAAGTGATAAGGCAGCAGATGGCTACTTCTCTGCGTGTTTCAATTGTATTGTGCTATTTAAGAAAAAATAAAGTGTGAGTATAAAATACATGGGTGACTGACAACAAAGTGCATTTCAAAGCTACCCAAAGTCTAAATAGTTGTCCTACCTCAAGAAGCATGTCCTTGATCTGCCTGATTCTCACTCCCTTAGCTCCTCCCCCTGATAAAATGACATCCATCAGTTTTGGGGTGCAATGGTCAAGTGTAGCCATTCAAGGCTTACAGTGGTTATTCTCTTGAACTCCTCCTTTATCTGTAGACCACACAAACAGAAGAATTAAACCTTGCAGACTATTAGCTATACTGCATTAATGAATGCTGTAATACATTATTTAAAGAGGATAGAAGTGATCTAAGGCTACCCCAAGTTTTGAGGGAACAAAAACAATCTTGGTGAAGACAAGGGAGACTTCCCCACCATAACCGTGGTGTAATCTCTAATGTTTTAGCAACCCTGTTTTTGCAGAGGTTTCGAATTTACACATTGTTCACTCCCAGCCCATTTTGTAAAAAATGTGTCCCAACTTAACAAAGCACTAATGACCCTACATTATCACACTATACTAACTGCTTACATAAAGTCTTAATATTAAGTAGATTCACATTGTTAATGCCAGAATAATGCTATTTGAATGACATTAACAATATTTCACACAATCTGATTTAAAAAAAAAAAAAACCCAAAAAAACAAAAGAAAGATAGCTACAGCTCTTAAGATCAAGAACAATACTTACTTTAAGCTGTATCACAATACTAACCAAAATCATTTACAATGTAATATTACGTATAGGTCATGCAAGTTTTATAAAGACATAAAATAGGTGAGCCAGATGGAAAAAAGAAGCCTCTAGGTTATCCCTCTGACAAAACTATTCACAGTTTAAGGCTTCCAATTTTGGTAAAAAGAAAAACAAAATCAGCCTAAGATCGAAATTAGATTGCACTGTGTAGCAAAACTTTAACCACGCTTTTCCTAGCCACAGTTGCACTCTCTAGCTGAAGACTTTTGTCAAATGAAATTGTTTAGGTTTTTTTATTTAAGAAAAACAAAACCTAGAACATCAGGCTTGAGATATAAAGAGGCTTTTTGTGCCATTTCCATGGACTTTCACGCAGCATCATTCATTCCTTTTATTCCAAAGTCATAATTGGGTTGGTGTGCCCTCTGCAGATGGCTGTTGGCAACAAATTTTCTTTCTCTCGCTTTGACTGGGAAAAGCAAACAAGCTCAGCTGAGCCGGGGAATGACTGCATTTGAGGAGGAGGAGCAGAAGAGCAGGGAAAGGTGGAGAGAAAGCCGGAGTATTTTACAGGAAGATGGCAAAAGGAAAGAGGAGTGAGGCATGCAGGGAAGGATGAGAGGGCAAGTGCACGATGTCAGGAAAGACATCAGTCACCGTGTGAGCACCAGCCTATCCCTGGGTGACCTATTTTATCCTCCGTCAGCATAGCAAACAAGGGATGAGAAGAGACTGATGAATAATAGAGGAGGAGATGGCTGCCTTCCTCTCGTTCACCCTCTCCCCCAGTGCGACCCCACCCCCCACCCACCCCTCTTTTTTTTATTTCAACTGCGGTACAAAAAAAGATTTTATAAATAACTTAAGAGATTTTTTTGGGGTGTGCTGCTGACGTGGGGGGCACGTAGCGTGCAGTCGTCAGAGATACGTCAGCCGTGAGTGTGCGCGAGAAAGACAGAAACTTGTAGAATGTGAGTGCATCAGTTCGAGGCAGAGGGATATTTCTGGATATTTCTGTTCTCGCTGTACATTAAATTGCAAAAATAGACGTGCAGGGTTTTCATTCAGTCGTTTCAAAAATGCACACTTGTGTAATGATTGACCACGCAGAGGAGCACTCTTATTGATTGCTTGGAGATATCACCCACTGTATGTACCGAGCAGATTGTGAGCAAACAGTGAGCTGCTGGATGAGGTTGCCTAACAGCGAGGAGAAACGGGTTTAGAGACAGATGTGGGTTTCTTTACTTTACCATCAATGTCTGAGCCAGTATGGAGGAACTGGCCTCTGACATTCCTAATGGCTGAAATTTATATCCCCGGAGCATTTAAGGAGTCATAATTCTCACTATAACGCTGACACACATGAGTGAAACCATGCTCGCCAAAGCCGTTTTCATACAGGCGCTGCAACTGCACACTGACTGCAATAGAAAGACTAAAATAGATTTTTTTAAAAACTGTAATTTGTTGTGCTTTGCTTCTTTTGAAGCTACAGATATCAGATATCCCTAATATGGCCATCTGAGCACAGAAGCTCCACCTACCTGCTATTAAACCCTTCTGATTGTGAGGAGCAGCCAATCACAACAAAGCTGGCTTAAATCTGGGGCGTTACGAGTCTTGCTAAGCTAGAATAAAAATAATGAGTTGGAAATAAATAAAATGAGAACTTTAAATGTGGCTGGAGCTAGAGTGACCAGATGTCCTCCTTTGTGTGGGACTCCACATCATTTGTGTTCCTTCTCCTCTGTCCCACATTATCCTGAGGTAATGTCCCACATTATGAATGGTTACGCAGCACAAGCTCTTTTCTAAAATCTGGCTTTTACCCAGTGAGTATGGAAGGAAGGCATTTATTATTAGGAAGAGGAAGGTTAACCTGTCTAATCACTAAACAAAGGTGTGACAGTCTGTGATACATTCCTGGATAAACTATTATTTAACATAAAAATTTAAGATTACCGCTCAGCATTGCTGACATTTCCCACTTTGTCCCACATTTTTTTAAATGAGTGAATTAGCTGGTGGGGCCTTGTGGACTTAGCTAAATTATCCTTACATCAACCTGCATATAAAGATAACAAAATATGAATATCTGCTGTCTTGCTTTGACTAATTAATTTGCAGTTAATGTGAACCCTGTTTGTACTCCAAGTTTGGAGTTGAAGTGGCCAATCTCCACCCCTCACCGTCTGAGTGCCACTTTTATTCAGGGCTCCTCTTCATTCACTCAGTCTTCCTCCTCTCCTCACCCCATGACATTATCCGTGATTAAGCCAGTGCTGTAATTGAATCTGTTCAAATGATGTCAAGGATTTGTGAACCTTCGTTACTCTTTTGCTTCCAACTTCTCTAAATCCTAATCCATTTGTTGTGGTCAGGAAATCACACCAACCCAGTCTCACTCTGTTGCCCGCTCACCTGCTCACCTTCAGCCTTCCCCCACCTTTGTCTCTCTGTCTGCTGTGTTTAGAGGTCTAAGCCTTAATCCCTACCCTCAGTGATTTTATTACCATAATCTGGGTCAGAATTGGCTTAGCTCTCATAGACACTGCCATGCGGAAGGACAAAGACAACAACAGCAAAAGGACAGCAGTGTGAAGAAAGTGAATGGGAAAGGAGGACGCGATAAGTCTTGTAGGAGAAAGTGAGAGACACAGGTGTGAATGTATTATGTTTTACATCACACATTGAAAATGAGCCACACTGGCATTAAACATTACATCCACTTGGAGGTGTTAAGTTCGCTGAGGTACACTTGAGGCAGAAATCACACAGAGAAGAAAGAACAGCGCATCGAACCCCGGCCAGCATAGTGGACGAGTCAGCAAAAAGGTCAGCAAAGAACAATTTTGGTTTGTTAGAACTGAATCTAAAGTAGAAAAGGCTCTGCAGTGTCTGCCAGTGTTTTATGGTTTTCAAAGTTTTCGGGAGCAGCTCCTCTACCTGCAGCCTTTCAGATGTCAGCAGGTTCAATGGTTCATACCTCTTGCCTCGTGAGCTGCTTATGCTCCATTGAAATCGCTTTCCTCACCCTGAGTGTGATGTTATGTAACAAGTGACACAAAGACATGGC